TAGCAAAATCTTCGGCCTCGTCTCTTCAACTTCCTGTCACAGAGCTCCAGTTTCTCGGGGACAAAACCTGGGCCGAGAACATTGCCGTCCGTTCTAATGGCCAACTACTTATTACCCGTCTCGATACACCGATCCTCCAACTCCTTGACCCTTCCAACCAAACCGCTCCTATAACCCTTCATACTTTCAATACAACTACCTACATCGGACGTATGCATATTGTCTCACATTGTACTCCTCAGTTACCCTATCTATATCAATGTTATACCGTATATTTTATGTGTCTTCTCAGTTCCCCTACGAGAACCTAAATTCCCATTTGTCCTCAAGAGCCTTCCTACAAAAGCAAATATTGACTTCACAACTCTACAGTTCTAGGTATCACTGAAATCACACCCTTCTCGGATGTCTTCTACGTCGCCGTCCAAACACCCTACACAGCTGTTTTCACAAAGGCTACGAATTACTCTAATGCAATCTACAAAGTGGACTTGAACACCTTCTCTTCCAAAGCTGGTATCTTAACCTCCCCTCCAACAGTATCCCACATAGTCGATCTTCCAGAATCTGTTTTGTTGAACGGCATGGATACTTTAGATCCGGAACATATTCTTATAAGCGATTCAATTCTTGGTCAAATCTATAACGTCAATGTCGCAACATCCTCTTATACCATTCCCCTTAGGCTCTCGTCTATGGCCATCCCACCAAGTTCAGAAGCACATCTCGGAATCAACGGTATTCATTACCGCTCCCCATATCTCTATTTCGACAATCTCGGCGCAAGCACCTTCAACCGCGTACCTATCGCTCCGATCACTGCGGCACCAACGAGTGATAGTGTATTACTAGTGAATGTAACGAGTCCAGATGATTTCATTATTCGTGAAGATGGTACAATCTTCTTGTGTGGCAACGATCAAGATACGCTATTCATGTGGAAACAGGGCATGAGTGAGGTTGTAGCTGTAGCTGGTAGTAACACATCTATAGTACTGGCTGGTGTTACGGCGGGCGCATTTGAGAGAGTTGGAGGAAAAGAAGGGAAGAGATTATGGTTAACAACTAGTGGCGGTGAGTTTTCTCTTTGCTTTTGGAGGTTATGAGGGCAAGAGGGCAACTTAATGAATGCTAATACACGTACATCCATAGCCCAAGCCCAGGCTATCAATGGCACGATAACTACAGGGGCTACAGTATCATATGTTGATACTGATTGCATCTAGAGCACAATTGCGGTACACAGGAATGAGGAGGGCGTTTTTATGTTAACGTATTGCAGAGGACCAGAGGTTAGGATGGTTTGCGGAGGAAGCTATATTTAGAATTGTTTGTTATTCGTTTGTTGTCTACGGAACATCAGCCAATCTTAACGAAATACCGTCAAGCAAATTAGCAGAATGAAAACTCCCCGCAGTAAAGAGAGTGATGATGCCTACAGTTCAATTCAAACATTTTGTTGGCCAATCAGTACCTGTTACATTTACACTGCACCTGATTCAGCTTTGGATGGATGATTATTCTCCGAGATAGCATCCTATGATATTGATTCGGGTTAGAGTATTATGCAGTGTTCCTACTGCACAGTACCAACCAGATTGCTCCGATTCTCACTTGCAAGCACAAGTCATCATCCAACAAAAACGCAAATCCAATGTGATAGATGCCTATGCTATTATCTTTCTGTATTGTTGGTTCGAAAAAGCACTTATTCAATTAATCGCGCCAAATCCTATTTATCCTCTCCATTCGACCCCACCCCCTCTTCTCCCGCCCTAATCCCACCCACCACCCACCTGATCTCAATTTATTTCGCCATCCCACCATCCCACCATCCCATCCCATCACCCCTTCACCTCTTCACATCCGAACAATCCTCCCACAAACTCAATCTTCGACCTTTACTAGTCTCTCCCACTTGTCAGAAAGCACAGGGCTAAACCTAGCAACAACCACTCTGCTCTACTCAAGTAATCAACTCTCACTGAATTAACCAACACCACACACATACTTTCCACCATGGCATCCATGGATGAAGATGCCGTGATAGTCCACACCTCGCCTTATCAGCCGCCTCCTTCAACACGCCACATGCGCAATTTATCGATTTCCTAAAGACTAGTTCATGCTTTAGGATCGGTTACCAAACATAGTAGTGTTGCTAAGCGCAGCTTGGTATCTTACCCCGTAGCTAATGAATCTATGATTCAGCTACTGTGATTAGTTTGTGTATGCACATGTATGTTTGAATCTGCATCTTTATTGCCAATTTCTATCCGTTAGTGGTCTGGTAACCTAAAGTCTAACTCGGATTCTGTTAAGACTTCATCCCACTCACTACACACACTCGAAAGATGACTTTCCACTCAGCTTTTAATTTCAACAATATGCACTACTCTCCATGCAAGCAAACACCAATCATTGGGCATTGTAAAAATCAAAGATTCGCAGGTGAGTAAGATTTGGGCAGCAAGCTAATTTCTAGTTTCTACCCCTAGTTGCCCTAGTAAAGTAGCATCAAATATCCATACACACGCCTGATTGGTCCAAATAATATAATCCTCCCCAATACCCACAGCTTGCTCCCAAAGGGGAGAACGGAGTTCTCCGACTTTCTTTCCCCATTAAAAATCTTGAGACGTGAGCTCGTGAGTTATGAGTAAAGTAAGATTACCCGAATCTGCCCTACAAAGATGTGAAATAGTGTATGAATATGTTTTTCCGAGGTGCTTTCCCATGTTGAAAGAGATTTCGATACTGAACATCGTATCTTTAGTGTGTTGATTGGGCTGTAGACATCGGTTCGGGGGTTTGTGTGAGGGGGTTAAGAGACTAGGAGAGCACTAAACAAAGCAAACGAAGGTAATGGGGTATCAATAGAGAAACACCAGCACTAGGGATCTACACTCCATCTTTATATCCACAGAATCTACCATCCTTCAACACTCATTCTCTTTACATGATGTTCTCAACTTATTAGGAGTATAAGTTCCCTCTCATCATATTCCCAAGTTGCAATACACCCCGACACCGCCGAATCAATTCCACCAAAAAAGCGCCCCCTTACGAATTCCACCGTCCTCTTACCCCAAACTGCACCCGCTAACCATGTTGCCGAGGAACCTTCTTCAATCACTTCACTACTGGCACGTATGTTTTAGTACTTTCAAGGTACGGACTAGTTTCCGTCTTCCGTCTTTTCTCCGCCAGTCGGTCCAAACTAATTGTGGTTAATGGTACTGAACGAATCGTGCTATATCGTACTAATCATGAGAGTCATTGAAGAAAAGAGCCCTATATTCATTTTCTAGACATAGCGTTATGCAAAAGGAAGGATCGTGGAAGTTTGGAAGGCAAGCACGTTCAGTATAATAGGAATTGCATACCGAATTCGACATGTACTGCATTTGCCCTGATATCAAATTCCAGGCATTAGAACACCACAATATTTCTTGGTTTTCAAGTTTAAAGTTGACCAATCAAACAGCTTGTCAAGCTTTTTTTCTTGCACATTCCATCGTGTGGCAAGTTTTACTCATTAAATCCTCAAGTTTGACATAGAAACATTCATCAAATCATCAAAATGCAATAACCAATTGATCATCTCAAACCTCCTACTCATCCTCGACAATCCGACACAAAAAATTCAGGGTCTTTCCGCCACCTACGCTGAACGTTACATAACCAATATAGCCAAATCGTCATTTCCACGTGGTATGCCTGTTCAGTCTTGTAAATATTCATGCTGTACCACATAGCTGCCTTGCGCACCTGCGTGAGATATAGACAGAATTGTGTAATTGCGCTGCCGTTCCTCAACTTATTCAAGTGCGTACAAACGAATGAAGTAATAATTCCATCTGATCAAGCCCTCTTTGTGTGAAAGGTAATAATAGCCTGCAAATACCGAGATTGGGCAAATCAATTTTCAGCCTCAAAAGTTGGACGAAAAGAAGAGGTCGTGTGAACAAAACAAGCTCTCAGCCCCTTCATCCACATTCGCTAATCCGCTTACGATTTTGAGTGTTAGGGAAGCGACGATTAGGAGAATAACGAATAATGCAGTCAGATGGTTATCAAGAATCTCACCCACAAAAAGTAGAAAAATAGATACCAGTGGGGAACTTTCACGACACTCTGATTGTACATTCTTGAATCTTGAATGTCCCCTCTATTGACCCATGACCTCCGACGAAGTGTGTATCCGGGGAATACTGTGCATCAAATCCGATGTATGGCTTATTTTATTTCCCACTCACGAAGATAAACCAGAGAAAGTGCCGCTCTGCATAGATGATAGTAATACAGTAAAACCTCTCCATAAGGATCCCCCCTATAAGAATAATCTTTCTATAAGGATATATTTTTCAATCCCAAAAATTTTCAGAGCTAAAAATAATCTATATCCTTAAAACCCCTTTATAAGGATATCCTTATAATTTCCAGTTCCAGAATTATGTGTATCCTTAATAAACCAATAGAATCATTAGAATTAATTATTATATAATCGATATATTGAAATTTTGATTATTTTTTATAAAAATAAAAAAAAATTCCAAAATTGTTACGGAAATGTTACAGAATATAACCCAATCAGGATTAATCGAAAACTGATTATTATTATATCGGAATTAGTCGGATACCTCTATATAATAATATCTCTATATATCCTTAAAAAAGTCTACAAAAACCGGTATCCTTATGGAGAGGTTTTACTGTAAGAAGCTGATCTTTCTTATGGTTCAACAGTTACAAAGATTTTCAGCAAATGATTTTCCAAACTCTCGCACCTCACCGCTATGTTGATTATTGTTTATTCTCTTGTTGATCCATCCCGTGGTGCTCACTTTGACGGTTTGGTGGTTTGTGCTTTCTTGCTACTTCAAGGATCAATCGCGGTTCATAGTCCGTATTTTAGTGGAAGTAAAATCACGAAATCTTGGGACAATAATATTGGGAGTACATATGACCGACAATTGTCGGACCACCCACTCCGAAAAATGGCCGATGTTCGCCTAGGTAAGCTTCTCATAATCTCATAATCTCATTCGTGAACCATAATAAATGGACATTCTGGGATATTCTGGTTTGTGCAAGAGGCGATTTCGCTGACAGGTCTCCCTGATGCGGCTGAATCTTTTCAGGTTTGATGATTCGAATGATGAATCACAAGGCTGTGCTGGCGATACGAAGAATTAGACCAAAGCACGAGGAAACGCGACGACTATGTTGTGGCAATACTCGTAAGTGATCTTGTTAATAAGTAAAAGCTTATTGTAGTGAGGTTGGAGGTATCTTGACTTGTTAACTTGTAACCCTGATCCTGTAGGCCAAGGCACCAAGGCAGAGAAAAAGGTTCAACATGTTCAACATCATCATCGCTGCACCACTGCTGTCATCATACTGATGATAGCCTCTAATAGGGTGGTATAAGGTTTATCACTACTTTATATTGTCTTAAATGGATAGTAGAGCCAGGGGTTGCTTTCAGGGTCCTCTGTATTTAGTAATTCGTTTGAAATCGTCGAGAAGATTTTGCAGGGAAGTATTTCCATGGGATCGGCAACGTGAGAAAGGCGGAACATCATGGGGACACAGAATTTGTTTGATGAGCATTGAGCTTGGATAATGTATGTTCCGAGGTTTGAAAATAATGTTGGAGGAGGGGTTAACGACTGACAGCGAACCCGAGTCAACTTGTCATATTGTTAGGACTTGAAATCTGTATGGCTTCATTGAGTGTTAAACTCTTGACGCTTTGAAGAGTCGATCGATTTGAATTTGACATGAAACTTGAACAGAAGGATTGGAGCGCCTCTTCCTACTTCCGAGGGCTCGTAAACGCTCGGCATCGGAAACAGTTTCATGATTTGTATCCTTAGTTTGTTGATCTGATCTTCCAACGTCTTATTATGCCGCTGTAAATGGAAATGATGATGAGCGGGGAAAATCTCACGATACTTGTGACTCGCAAGTAGTCCTTCGTAGGATAGGATACGTAGGGATTCTTATATCGGTACGTACGGCAGTGCCAGTCATGTCGTTGGACCCGTACCAAATCAAAATCCCGGCGCTTCAAGAGATTAGCGGTCATGTCTACCTTATTTGTATTATTATACCTCCTCTATTACTCGCTACTACTATAAGGGGTAAAAATGGTAGTTGATCTTCTTGATTTGAGTGCTTAATTGAGTGTAGTAATCAAGAAATGCTTGAAAGCCCTTGATGTATTCGATGCTTAATGCTTGTGGGAGAGAGTGGCTTTGATTGATCCCGTGCGTAATTACATCATGACGACGTGGGTCCCTTTTTGTGAGTTCGGTGTTTCTAAATTTCTTGACCTACCGTTGAAAAAGTGTGTTGTTGTGTTGAAACCTTTTGGGAAGATTTGAGATTTTTAGCTCAGGGGTACTCGTACACAAATACACTTTCGTACATTTATGTATAGGATCCCATAGAAAAGAGAGGAGAATCGAAAGCAGGAGAAGGGGTCAAGGTTTTAAATTTGCTGGAAATGCTAGGTATATTATATGACGGACAGCAGTTTTAAGTACGAAATGACAATGATGTTCAAGATAACCTCAGAATGAATAGGATCGTCTTACAAGATAGAAGCCGAGTAGGATTATGGTGTGATTTGTATTGGCAGATCTCAAAGAGGCTATTATCAATATGTTCTTGCAAGATGAAGTGTTGATTTTGTAAAACTATTTCGATATCATTTTGACGTTGCTTGACCTTTCATTAATAATTATGACCACTGACTTAACTAATTAACTCACGCCCGCATAAGAATAAGTAAGGAGGAATGGCAAGATATCATCTGAAATGTCAACAACTAACTTCACTTGAACTAAGTGCATATAAACGTTGTCAGGCTCTCCATAAATCCATAATTCCTTTACGAAGTTCTTCTTGTTTTGTTCTTTGCATTGGGTCTCGCAGCATCCTACTCTATCCGATCTCTCCATATGTGCGTGTGGTGTAAGTATCGTTGATTCATCGTAATGCTGGTGACATAATGGTGTTTCCATAATATTTCTTCCTAGCCTTACGATTATGTATTAGCATATCCAATATAACACTGGAAAAGTTCATTTCTACTTCCCAGCAGTTTAACAAAGTCAAAGTCTGACAGTGACACACAGTTGACCACGCGTGAACACTGAACTCTTGACTAATAAAACGTCGAACTCACCGAGACGAGCGAGCAAATTACAATCAAGTACCGAGCACTCTTCATCTGTGTGTGCTCAAAGTCCACTGGAAAGGAAACAGGACATCCACAATAAAATCCAACCCATGAAGGGATAACCCAATTTAACCTGACCCCCACTCAACTCTTTTAGGAAGACTTCCAAAATTTGCATCGACAAAAAGATTTTTTGAACCCCTTCATCCATGATTCCTTAACCCGACTATCTGGATATCACAATTAAGGAAGCCTTTTAACTCTTGCATACAGGAAGCGGACGACGGCGTTACGGCACGTTGCATCTACCTAGGAACGTCTAAACGATCCTTCCACTGCATTTTCCTCTTTGCTTTGCATGATGGGGTGGATACTTAGACATGTACACTATTTTATATTCGAGTATGATCATTGGTGACACTCCGTAGGTGGAAAAGTTGTTCCTTGAGTAACACGCACGTTCTGAACACATCAACATTTCCCTCAATACACTTCATTTACATCGCTGTAGTTTCAAATTACTTCGTAATAATGGGAATGCTGTAGTGTCACTCACAACCGCTAACCATGATGATTTAATAATTTGATCAAAAATATCTACCGACTGTGCCGTATTGTGCTACGTCTCTATACTTCACCTCAAATTTGCTGCTTTTGATTAAATAATAGATAGGGTTGCTAAGTCACAACCAACAATTCAATATTCCCTTCAATACACACACACACGCACACGCACACACACTCTCTCCTTCCCCCCTCCCTCTCTCTCTCTCTGTTTTCAAAAGTAAGGTTCTGACCGTTGTGTTAAGAGGTCCGGGATCATTCTCGGTCAGGGGTGGATCAAGCATAATTTGTTGTGGCATAATTGGCACTTCGGAATCTACCAGAGAAGTAAAGCGTCACATAATCACAGGTGTTAAGATCTGCAGCGACGTATCCTAGTGCTTGATGGCTTTATCAGGGTCCACTACAACTTGCAAAAAGAGAGCATGGGAGCCAAGCTAGGGAGAGACACCGGGCATGGCAAGTTGAAAAAAGCTGGGAGGGGGAGAAAAAGTAGAGAAGGATGCTGCCCGCCGCCCCCTCGGCTTAAGTACCTTTTTACTTCTTTCTATTGAATATGTGAATATGTGAATATACAAATAAGACGAATGAATAAATTGTATTATGTGGATATATGTGAATTTAAAGTGTATAGCATCAATTCTCTCTGTATTCAATGTTCAAGATTCAATAGTCAGCAGAGATCAGTGAAAATAAGAATCTAATTCATCATTGAAGGAAGTCTACCTCGCAGGATGATTAAGAACATGAATCTTTACCATGTGGTATATCTATCTTCTCAATATGGAAAGCGTAGGGATATACTTGAGTACGTACCATACTGAAGTAATAAGAATTATGAGAGTGATATGATCGGGCTTATTCGACGCTACCCCTTCATTACAACCTCACTTGAATTAGCTTTGTGCATGCTAGACAAGTACATCTAAGCTTTGTATTATTCAAGTTCTATATATCATCTAGTGATTCGAGTCATTCCATCATGTCGTAACAGTAAGTAGTTCCAAGTACCGGTACGTATCTAATATCGACGACACACCTCCTATGTGAAACGAAGAAGAGATCATCTAGATACCCAAGAAGCTCATCACGCACCGTTTGATATTCATCTAATTGCTTTACTGGCTATACACCATATCTACCTGAACCCTTCCCTTCAGTCTGTCCGTACAGAGAGTCCATGTTATCCAACCATCTTGTGATTTGTGAATAAATGAAAATTATTCATTTCCGAATTGATACACCTCGTCTCGAAGTTGTATCCTCTTTAGTCTTAGCTTTCCACATTTATCATTTATCCTCTCCTCCATCGTCCATTTATTTCCCTGAACCAAGTTAGTGAGAGGAAAAGGATACCGATACTCTTTTACTGCACTGGGCTGGCAAATCTTTTGGTGTCACGGCGGATTTTTTGAATGGATACACTACACAACACTAAAAGTAACCCCAATATACTCGAACCTTCCCAACCATAACCTACCACACATTACACCACACACCTTTTCCCACTGTTTTCCACCAAAAATCTCTCTTTCGGAAGAAAAAAAAAGAGAGAGAAAGAGAAGAAAGATTCCTTTTTGCAAAAACATTAAAAAGAAGAAGAGATTCGATGCAAATTATTTTTGCTCGTAGCTCTTCTGAGCTTTCATCCTAAAAGAAAAGAAGAAGAAGACGAAGAAGGAAAAAAACAATCAAACTCCTATCAAAAAGTTTCAATTTTATTCGATTTCTCTTCTCCAGCAAAAGATACCCCATTATTATATTTTTGTACTACTACTACTACTACTACCACCATCACCATCTCTTCGAATCCAATCACGAACATTCCCTCGGAGCCAATACCCATCGCTTTCTCTTTGGCAACACCATCCATCCCATTACCACACAATACAACATCAGGTCTGCCAGTAAGACAGTCAACTCGGTTTAAGAAGTTGTTGGCACGAAACTTGACATTCTGTTTAAAGCTGTACATTTCAGCCTAGTCGAGCATCTACCCAGCTCACACCTCACACCTCACGGCTCCCTTTAATCATGGCTTCACCAACTGAAGCAACGGTTCCCGCCATCCCGCCAACCTCTTCCTTGGAACCCAGTACCGTCAATCCATCACTGGCCGATTCTCCATTAACCAACGACTCATCAAGCACATCTTCGTCCGATGCAAATGGAGGAAGCACGCCAGCAAACACCTCTGCTAGTCGTACACCTTCAATCAAGAGGCCAAAGCTTGGTACTAGAAAGTCTAGCGGTACTATAATAGTACCGCGCGAACACCCGCGCGTGGAATTAAAAGAAGGGGACGAGGTCTTCGACGAGGATGATGCAAGAGCAATGAGTCCAAGGAGGAACAGTGAGGATTTGGAGAAGATGAGTCAAGATGCTAGAGCGCAACTCAACGAGTATGTTATCCTCCCTTCTCACCCATGAATGCTACCGTTCATACGGAACATCCATCAAACAATACTAACTCGTTACTTCCCTTAAAGACACGCTAAACTTCTTCAACAATCTCTCCTCGAAATATTTAATCGAATCGAAGCTGTCAAAGAGGAACACGATAAACTCGATAACAACAACAAATTCTTACAGAAGTACATCGGAGACTTAATGTCCACGTCTAAGATTACATCTACTGGTGCTGGGGGCAGAAAGAAATAGCCACTAGCCGTGGAAACCAAGGAAATCGAGGAGGTATGTCGAAAACGGAAGGCATCGCGGCATCAAGGCTGGTCAAGTCGAAAGAAGAATAAACATACCAAAGAGGACCGAGAGGTATGACATGATGCGCGGGACCAGGAAAAAGGCGAACCAAATATTGATACCCCTCAAACACACACGATCACACACATCCCGCTTTCATTAACGACTCATGATTTTTCTCCATAATGATCATTGCAAAGAGCTTGCAAAGAGATCACAAGAAAGATCACTTCCACCATACTACTTTACGACACTATCCACTCATTTCCTGGTCTCCACACAAACTTATACGTCTCATCTTAAATAACACAGCTGGCTGTACATCAACACCGGCATCAAATATCTGCTGCAACGACAACGACCAAGCGACTCAGGGGACGAAGATGAGGAGGCATTACAACGGCGTACTTTTCGGCTTGGGTTTTCTGGTTCAATCTAATTCATCGAACATCCTGGGGGCTTTATCTCAGAACCTCCTTTTTTGATTACTCGGTTTGGGCACTTGCTTTCGTTTTTGGCAATGGGGGGTAGGCTCCATCATGGCATTATTGGCATGGCTTGGCATTTGTGATTTTTCTTTTTGGCTTCTATGATGACATTGCATTTGGAACTGGCTTTGGCATCACTTTCATCATTTATCATCATCAGCGACAGGCGTTTAATTTCTTTTTTGAATTCAAATTCTTTCGTTCCTCATTTGGTATCCTCAATTCGACGAACACATACAAATCACACATACTTTTTACGGGAGAGCAAAGTCAGCAATGCTTATCTCTGGTTCTGTGGACAAAGTCGCGATACAACACGATACCACACCATACCCTCGGAGTAAACATTAGACTGGAATGCATAGGATGGAACGATTGAAACCCGGAGAAGTGGCGAGGAAGGTAAAAGAAACAGAGCTGATTCGAAGAACATTCATATTGTTATTCATGAGTGATATTCATGAGTGATCAGTGGGGATAGGGGGTGCAATCATGTTTTGGGGAGTAAATGGAATGGATGGGGTTTGGGAAAGGGTTTTGGAAAGTGGTTGCTGGAGGAGCAGAGAGGGAAGAGAAAGTGTGTATTATAGATGCAGTACAATACAACACAACAATACAAATTTATGGTTTAATGCAATTGTGAGCTGTAGGATGTTAGTTGTGATGTTGGGTCTGAGTTCGAGGTGAGATGGGTATGAGCCCGGATTGCATTGTTTCTGAGATGAGTACGGCATGATATATGATATTGAGATAGCTATTATCCTGATACATTCCAGATGCAGATACCCTTTCAAAATATGAATCCATCACCCTTCACCGAACGAGGTGCCCGCACGCTCGTCTGACTAGATTTGATTTCTTTTGGCCAACGAGATGTGCCAGCCTACGGCGAAGTGAAATGAAGGTCTTCAAATATCATGCACACATGTAAGCACGACACCTCATCCTGATCTCCTCATTTTTGACAAACATAAGAGATTAGATAGGTTGCGATAAGACGAGTAGGATACACTTATGAATACTCACTCGACATCACACACACACACGCACATTATATATACTAGATGCTTGATGCTTGAAGCTTGAAGCTGTGACCGAGATATTCGAAGGGGATATATTCTTTCTTAGTCCACCATACCCTCCCTATCCTATCCTATTCTATTCTATCCTATTCTATTCTATCCTATTCTATTCTATTCTATCCTATTCTATTCTATCCTATCCTATTCTATCCTATCCTATCCTATCCTATCCTATCCTATCCTATCCTATTCTATCCTATCCTATCTCATCCCAACTTTCTATCAAATCTTCCCAAACACCTTTATGTCCTTCTTTTTATCACGCTCAAATCCCACTGCCGTCCAAACTAAATCTTCAACTTTATCTCCTTTGGGGGACCCAATATCTCCACCTCACTCCTAATCTCCAATCTCCAATCTATTTCTCACACCCCCTTCCCCTTCTTGAACTATTCCTTCCTCTCTTTCTGCAATCTCCTCCTCACATGTCCTCTTCCATGTCCGATTCCCATACAATTTCCTTACGCCATATTTCTTCTATCCTTCATTTAGCGAGTACACATAGTCTCACCTCTCCCAATGATTTTCACACATGAAGTATATACATCCTCATCTACCACCATTTTCCTTCATAACACACAATAAGTCACATATGCCCTCACGTTTATCCTTATGGTACATACAACACAACATAACAATCACATGTCACTCTAAAAGCTTGCCAATGCTATTGAAAAATTATTGATTATTTCCGGGTATACTGCCATTCCTACTTTCCCTCAACTAATCGAATCAACTGAATAAAACACGTTCGAGTTCTCCACCGAAAAGAAAATAATAACAAACAGGCAAAGACAACAACGATATAACGATAGCAATAATTGTGACAAGAAATCAACGCATCGGAACCTCATGATTGATAAAAACAAAAACAAATGAATGCCAAGTAATACTCAGTTCACTGCTGCCTAAGTCTCTCGAGGTCCCCCATCAAACATGATATAAGCTCGAACTTTAGGCTACACATCATGCCCCACATCCTCTCCATGGTTTGTTTCTCTCCTCAAGCATTATCAACGGTACTTAAAACTCTTCTTTCAGCATCCTTTCCCCTCCCATTCCCACTGGCATTTGATTGCCTCGAGACCTTTCTCAACGAGGGAGAGGATCTTGGCTCATCTTCATCATCAATGGCCTTTGAGGAAGCAGGAGTAACGTTCCTTTGTCTTTTAGTGCCAATTGCATTGGTGGATGTAAAAAGATTAGACGTTCTTCTAGTAGAACCATCACTTGCAGTTCTCTGGTTGTTAGGACCAGTGCTTTCCGATGGAGCTGCTGGACTTCGACTTTCATTCTCCTTGTTAGCACAACTCAGCGAAGAAGAGCTCAATCTTCTAGAGTCACGGAGTCGAGCCTCTTCGACATGAGATACTAGTCCTTCGGGTGCATCCAGTGCACCCATTGCGCGTGGTATTGTTACACGATCGACGGGGCCGACTCTGCTAGATACTCTTTGCAAAGATGTCTGTCGAAGTGAAATTGTGTTTGCCGATGTCATTTCAGATTCATTCTGTGGTGTGTTAACAGGTACAGGTGGCAGTAATGCTTCACAGAGAGATTCGTATGCGCCCATACTCTGCATGTCATTGTTTCGAGATGCCTTCTCGATTATCATAGGATCTGATACGTTTCGAATACTGCCTGCCTGTCCACTAGAATCACTTGAAAGATCCGGCATAGAAGTTTCGGTTGAGACCCCTTGACGACGCCAGCCTGCAAAGGCAGGACGTGTTGAGTCAGCAGTGAATGGGTCGAAATTTGGAGGTTTTGAGAATGGTGCTGCTGGTGGTGGCATAGAGTTGGACTGCGAAGACAAGAAACCAATGTTTTGTGACTTTCGTGGAGAATGGGCATGAGCCTCGTGATCCTCTTCAACCCGTTTCGGCGATGGATGCTGATTGTAGATAGGGGCAACAAGAGATACCTGGCGCCACATGGCCGCATTTGGCCATGCAATCGAAGAAGCTTCCAAGACGTCTAAGAGTTGTTAGGTTGATAATCTGTCATTATGGAAATGAAAATTAATGGATATACCTAATGGAGCATGCTGAAACGAGAAAGCTACTAAGTTCTTGATACGCTCGAAAGGCATAGAAATATTATCTCTTGGAATACCTTCCGATACCACTACTTTTACACGTCCGAGATCGTCTCCCGGGTTCCAATAACTTTGCGATAGAAGTTCTCGATGGAAGGCAGGAAACTCGAGTTTTTTGCAATCTCCCTGTTTATCGAGCTCTATAGATTGTTAGACAATGCTGGCTCTCGGTCATTCCAGTATATAGTTATGTTTATACTAGGTACGGGTGAAAAAGAAGAATGATTTTATTACCAACACTAGTTTCGAGAACTGTTGGCCAGGGGCCGTTTCGATGGAAGAGCTTGGTACTTAATAAGACTAGTCAATACATCTGCTTGCCTGCGACAAATGGTTGAGGCCTACCCAGCAATCTGTCCATCCACAAATACACGAGCTTCAAACATAACATATTCCGCATTTCTATTGCTGATATGTTGTACATAACGGCTGGCTTCGGGATTTTGCCAAGAATGGATAGAAATTCGGAAGGGCTCTCCAGCAGCTAAGCTTGGTATGAAACAAGTAACCATAGGAACTATCAGAGCAGTGGTCTGCGAGTAATGGACTTCTGCGATTGCATCAGTTTGGAAGACATTGGCCTCCGGTTTGGAAGCAAGTACTTACCGTGGTCCTGAACAACTTGACAGGAAGTTTTGAACTCTTGCATTGGGATCTTGCATAATTCATGTGGAAACATGAGAACATCCCAATTCTGATAACGCATTTTGAATGGCTTTTAATCACTAGGAATCAAATATAAGCTGATAGGTTATGGCATAACCACAAGCAAGTATTGAAGCAAATCTTGAAAGAAAGAGAAAGAAGGGCAGCAGTGATAAGTTCTTAGATCTGAGGATAGAGCAAAAATCATGCAAGCTTTATCCAGGTAAGAGGTTTGGCTAGAGAAAAGATGATTTGGTAAGAACATCGCGTTTGATTGATTGAGGAAGGAACGACCTGAATACTGGTGATTCTTATCCGCCTGTTTAATATGGCCACCAGATTTCATCAAGCTGGATATGACATCCCACGCCCTTACCTGAGAGGAAAATTCACTACGCTATCTCAAAATACTTTAGGAAAGGCACTATTTGCCATGATCGTAACTTCTATGAGAAAAGGCTTGGAGTTGATGAAGGTTTGAAAACATATAGTGCTTCACAATGAATGCCCCTCAGAACTTGCTTGCTCAAATTGATATTCATATGTACATAGCCGCCTTCCTTCACAATGGATCTCCAGCAGCTCTGGCCTGTTCTTTGCGTCAGTAAAAAGCAACTGGTGAGACTCGCAAATATCGTAACGTACCCTGACTGCAGTTGGGCCACCCAATTCTCTCTCAAGTCCACCCTCGAATTCTCTTGGAGCGGATTGCTTATCTGGGTACATCATGCCCACGACTGTGCAAAGTCCCAACACAGATAAAATAAAAAGGCCAAATTGAAATCCAGCAGTTCCGACCTTCTGATGTGTGTATTCTTCTGGTGAAAATATGCCCAAGATGTCATTATCCTCATGAACTGGCTCTCCGTAATTTCTTCGCTCTTGCTTATCCCACCAGTCGGCATTAGGGTCACGGAATTGACGCTTGATTCTGGGTGGGTTGATATATCCTCCGTTCTTCATGCTGTATTAGTATCCATTTCAGAAATCGAAGTCGAACTACACTAACCATGCCAGGATCTTCAATATCGGTCTTCAGCCTACTTTGTCAGTCTACGCTTCCCCCGAAACAAATAACTGCGATCAAGCAGACTGACCAATGGTAGAACTGGGCCGCTGGGGGCAGCTGCCTGGCTGGCACATCTCTGTGATATGAGGGTTGTTTGACGTGGGATAATGGAAGTTCGCAGTGGTCGCGCTGCCGCAATTCGTCGGGAAAACATCTGCGAGTTATTGATCAATAAGTCGAGGTTAATAGAATTAGGGTAACATGTATATGGCGTACCTTGAATGAGCCTCCGCAGTTAATCGCAATTGTTTTCAGAGGTCGTCTTCTGTCACTTGTAATCAGAGGTCGACGGGATGTTACTCGTTCGGTTAAACGTTAAACTAGTGGCAGTTGGACGGAATCTCGACGCGAAGAAGGTGTATTTTCTTCGTACTTCCTTCTTCAGCACGTAATTTTTGTACAGCGAACGATAAAAGCATCTGGGCATGCTCAAATTTTATATGAAGGATCCTTATGATGTACGGAACCTTACGAAGTAGTTTTAAGATTTCAAATGAAAAGTTCATGAAGTTCAAGGTAGTGTCTAGCCTCCCCTCTCGTAAAAAGTATGACAACCGCGTCAGAAGCTCCCGAGAGTGAAAAAATCTTTGGTAAGGGCCATAATTGAAAATCTGGTCAACAACTTAAAATTAACATTTTTATTATCAGATATACCTCCAATTGAAGATGTGCTACAAACCCCAAAAGCGAATGGACATGCGATTGAAAATGGAGATAGAGAAGCACCCCCGAGCAAGA